TATATTTTTCTTGTCTGCCAAATTCAATGGAACACACATATAGGTGTGTTTATGCATACATGTATGTGAGTATGTTTGTGTATGTGTGTGTGCGCATGCATATACACATATATATTCATACACATGTATATATTTTGTAAGCATTAATTGCTTTTTCCTTAGTCTTTTTTTAATTTGTCACTTGTTCTTATTATTTTTCTTCTAATTTCAAATCCTGAATAATTGTACTTCTATTTTGCTGACTTCCTGATCTCTCAGTATTCTACCTAAACACTTTATCGGGATATTTAAAAGCCTTCCCTTGCCCCTATATTTTAGCTTTATTTTGTTTTTTTCTTTCCTTCCAGACTGATGGCACAGATTAGTGAGGGCAAATGTCTTTTGGCAACTTCATAAATTTGTGTTTTTCCAGCTTTTGTTTTTTTTTTTTTTAAATTTTGTTTCCAATTGATGTAAAACGTACTTTTATTTAAATTTTTCTTAAAATGAAAATGAAAAAGAAAGTGGAAGTGGAAATGAAAGTGAAAGTAACAAAAGCTGAATTATCAATAGATTTAATTGTTTCTTTTTACAAAAAAAAAAAAAAGAAACTCTTTTTTTGTTTTTTATTTTTGTAATTTTTTAAACGAAAAATTTCAGACAGGTTTCAGATCGTCTCCTATATTTAATCCTGAAAGTATTTTTTTGGTCCTGTCAAATTTTAAATTTTCTTTCTCCTCCTCTATATAATATCTTAAATATCTTCTTTCTATTTTCATAAAATCCTCTTTAAGGTCATCAGTAGAGACAATTTTTAAAAATTCTGTTTGATTGGTATATTGTGTTTAATTTTATCCATCTTTATTTTTTCTCTTAACTATGCTAATCTTGGCACTCTAAGGATTATAAGATTATATTTTTTAGATAATTTTGAAAGGCAATCCTTTTCTTCATTTTGCATTGACATTTCTTCTTTAAGTATGCATAGATCTGTTATCCATCTTTTGTGTATCATAAAATCCTAAAGTAAAATCTGTATGCAAAGAAAATACAAATTTTAATTGCTTATTCGTGAGTACTGCTATTTCCTCCTAAAATTTTAAGCTAATTTAATTATCATTAAGTAGGAATCTATGAAAGAATAAAATGCACTTAAAAAATACATTTAAAAATGTGAGTAAAATTAGAAAAGGTGCAGACACTGGCAGAATATATAAACTTTTTAACAATAATAAAAACAGGAAACTGCATTCTTTACTATGGAAAGAAATATCCAGACAGACTTTTAGCAATTTAAAATAATGTTTAGCTATGTTAAAAATGTATTTTTTTCAAATTATTATTAATTCTTTATCTTATTATTAATGTATATCTTATTTATCTTCATTTTCCACCAATTTGAAATAGTCTTAAAATGGCTCATATGAAGATTTATCAAATACTAATAATTTTTTACTTGTATTTTTTTAATCTTATATCTCTTGATTTTACACTTAATAGTAGGAGGCACAGGGGATTAATGGATAGCAGCTCGGATTAAGGAATCAGAGAACTGAGTTCGAATTCCAGTCGAATCCATTACATTCACAGACATCCTAATACCGCTGGGAAAGGTATGAATCCTTCTCTTCCCAGCTCTCAAGTTCTATAGCCCTGGATTGCCACTGGTCTACCACAGAAAGAAATGGCAACCTACTGCAGGAAAAAAATCTGCCTTGTCAGTTATGTATCGAACGATACATGATCACGTAAGCATGTATCATGCATGGCACATAACTGACTGTGTAGGAGTCTTGTCCGAATTTATAAAATAAAATGTTGTCAATTATTATTAATTTTCATCAGTATTTCTTTCATCTAATTTCTTTTGGTTTTTTGTGCATTATTACTTTAAGTTGAATGAATTTCTTAGATGAATCAATTATTATTCCTCATAACTATTTTATTCATCTTACATTTCTTAGATGACACATTGTTTTTTATTAATAATTTTGACAGGTATTTCTTTCATCTTATTTCTTTTTCTTTTTGTTGCTAATTTCCAGGTCATAATTCTATGAGTGTTAAGTGTTCAGTTAGGTATATTGAAATATATGTGGTCAAATTGAAATATGGAATGTTCACAATATATGGGAGGAAAATTATACACGTATTTATTTATAGAAGATTAACATAAGAAGTGAGTGAAAGAAAAAAGGAGAAAAGTAATTTCAAAAGGGAAAAGTTCCAAATGAAGTGGGCACAAATCAGGATGTCAAATTTTATCTTTAAAATTAAGTCCTGATAAGTATAAAAGAATAAGCCTCTGGGGAAATTTGAACTCTTACTTTTTTCATATCTTTGGGAGCCTTTCTATTCATGGTACTGTTTTATCAATTAGGCTGTGAATGTTATTTATTTTATTTAATTAAATTCAAAATTTGTTTTCATCCAATCCTCAGTAGATATTTTGGTGGACTAAATTCATTTACAGATAATATTTTCATTTCTCTCCCATCATCACAGAATAACATTATTTTTATGATGCTCTAAGTTGTTTAAATAACTCGGTTAATGATGTAAATTTAATGGTTTAAGTAAAATTTAGAATTTTTTTTACAATTATAATTAAATCATCTTCATCTAGGGTCAACCATTACATATCCCATTTATCATCATAATATAAACTTTTCACTCCCTCTACCATGAGTGACTCTTGGGCCTTGAAATGGATGAACAATAGTATAAAAAAATAGATAGATAGATGAAATGTGAACCCAGGCATCAACACTGCATGCTGACTGCCAGTTTCATACTGCAATGCAATATTCAGACCAAAATCTTCATTGAGATGGGAAACTGACATCCACATTGTCTATATCTAGAAAAGCTCTGTCTCTAAGAGTGAACACTTTTCTCCTATAAATATAGCAATTTTTAATACATGCACAAACAACACACACATATATATATATACATACTTACATATATGTATATATATATATATATATACATATATATATACACATACATATATATATATATACATACATATATATATATACACATACATATATATATATATATATATATATATATATATATATATATATATATATATATACATATATATATATATATATACATACATATATATATATATATATATATACATATATATATATATATATATATATATACATATATATATATATACATACATATATATATATATATATATATATATATATATATATATATATATATATATATATATATATATATATACATATATATATACACATATAATATATATACACATACATACATACATATATATATATATATATATATATATATATATATATATATACATACATATATATATATATATATATATATATATATATATATATATATATATATGCATACATATATAGATAGGATTTTAAAATATATCACATGGATACTGAGTAAATGAATGACAAATTTCAGGGAATTCATATATATATATATATATATATATATATATATATATATATATATATATACATCTGAAGAAATGTTTTCCATTTTGTTATTCGCTCATCAGTAAATAAACACATTATATAAAAGATAAAACACAGAAGAAAATGGAGGAAGAGAAGAAAATTAGAAGGAAGAAAGAAAAAGAATAAAATGAAAAAAAAATAAAAATAATAATAATAATAATAATAATAATAAGAAGAAGAAGAAGAAGAAGAAGATTGAAAATAATTTGTGAAAATCAGAGAAGAAAAACGAAATCAGATGGAAAGACACAGAATTCTTTATAGAAGCAAAAATGTGGAAGAAATCTGAATGCACTTAGGAAAAACAAAGGTATACGAAAGAAACAAGAAATGAAGAAAAGAAAAAGAGAAATATAAGAAGAAAATGAAAAGCAAATGAAAACGAGAAAAGGGAAAGAGAAAGCGGAAGAAGAAGAAAAAATATAAGGGTAGGAAAACGAGAGCGAGGAAAAAGAAAAAGAAAAAGAAAAAGAAAGAGAAACGGGGAACAAGTTAGGATAGAACAAAAAAAAAAGGTTGAAAGAAAAAAAGAGAGATAAACTAAAAATGAAAGTAGGAAAATGTAACGAAAAAGAAAAAAACGAGAGAAGTGGTGGGGAAGAAAGGAAGAAAAAAAAAACACGAAAAAAGAAAAGAAAATTGCAAAAAAGGGAAAAGGTGAAGAAAGAAAGGTAAAATGAGAAGAAACGGGGAGACTATAAAAAGAGCAGAAAAAGAATGGGAAAAGGATAGGAAAATTGTGTAAACGTAAAGGAGAAAAGGAAGAGAGTAAAGATAAATAAGAAGAATTAAAAAGCAAGAAAAAGAAAAGAAAATGGTAAAAAAGTAAAGGAGAAAAAGAGTTTAAAAGAACGACGAATAAATAAAAAAGAAAGACAAAGAAAAAAGGAGAAAAGCAAAGAAAAGAGAAAGATAGAAGTGAAAACAAATAAAAGGAAAGAGAAAAACGAAGAAAAAGAAAAGAAAAACGAAGAAAAAGAAAAGAAAAACGATGAGAAAGAAAAGAAAAACGAGGAAAAACAGAAAAAAAGAAACGAGAAAGGAAACAGTCGGCGGGTAGGGGGGGAATAGGCGGTGAATGGTAAAACTGTATAAAGAAAAAGAAACGAAACGATAAAAACGTGCAATAACCCATCATTTATGTTAGTATTTCTTCAGAGAATTAAAGAACAGGAAAATATTTGAAAGCAAAAACGGATAAAAAAGCGTAGTATAAAAGTGTTACTCCTCCAGCTCTCACCACTATTATAAGACAATTAAACAAGAAGAATAAGGCGTTTTTCATCTTTTACCAATAAAGAATAAATAATCCTTTAAAAAATGGATATAAAAATATTAAATAATAAGAAGATAAAAAAAATGGAGAAAAAGCCAAACCGGAATCACTAAATAAAGGCAAAAACATTTAAATATATTCTATTTATGAGAAATATCAATAATAACATGAAACGAAAAGGGAAAAAAAAATGTGGTGATGCGAAATAAATCGGCTTAAAGGGAGGGGGGAAGGGTTGGAAGGAAAGCATAAAAATACGGGAGAAAAGGAAGAAACAAAGAGTAAAAAGACAGGGTAAAGGGAGAGAAAGAAAGCGTAAAAAGATGAGAAAAAAAGCAGAAGGAAAATGTAGTAAGATAGAAGAAAGAAAGTGTGAAAAACTTTGGAGGAAGAAAACGTAAAGAGGAAGGCAAAGTGGGAGGAGAGAAAGAAAGCGTAAAAAGATGAGAGAAAGGAAAAAAAGAAAAAACGCAGGAGAAAAGGAGAGAAGGAGAATGTAGAGAGGAGAAAGAAAACGTGAAAAAAGCGTAAATGATGGAAAAAGAAAGTTTAGAAAGACGAGAAAAAGTAGAAAGAAAGCGTAAAAAGACAGGTGTGACTGGGAGAAAGAAAGCGTAAAAAGACAGGTGAGAGTGGGAGAAAGAAAGCGTAAAAAAACAGGTGAGAGTGGGAGAAAGAAATCAGGAGAAAAATGAAAGAAGGAAAACGAAAAAGATGGGGAAAATTTGGGAGAAAGAATTCGCGAGAAAGAGAGAGAAGGAAAGGGTAAAAATACGAGAAAGGAGAAAAACGAGAAAAAATGAGAGAAAGAAAATGCAAAAAGTGGGAAGACGTGGTACGAAGGAGAGCATAAAAAGACGCGAGAAAGAGAAGACGAATAAATTGAAATGGATAGGGAAAAAGAAAAGTAAGAGTGAAAAAATACAATGGCTATTCATTTGGAATCTGTACGTTGCCAAAGGCGATACGATGAAAAAGACGCATCTCGAAATTGGTTGCCATCATGTAAGAAGATGGTTGATATAAATGGCAGAAATGTGAGTGAAAAAAAAAAGTAATAAAACATCTCTAGCAATATGGCTGCCTCGGATGCATATGAACAGAACATGCAGTTATACATAATTGTTTTGGAACATGCACAAGATTTATCGCAAGGTATTCAGAGATTTACCAAGCTTAAGAAAGTTTGGCACCTATGGAAATACATTTTATAAGATATATACACAGAAATGAACACAATTTATTGATTCGCTTTTTTTGCGACTTATCAATATTTTATACCGGATTTATTCAATCTATACAGCGAGGCAATTCTGAGAGATTTAAAAGTTCTACCAGGATTCCTTATTGCAGGCTACAATCTTAGCAATAAAAGCAGACGTGGAAAGGAAACTACAAAAGTCCCTACAGAAGGTAAGGAAGGAAAACGAAAAGAAAGGACTAAGTATAAACTGAATAAGACAGAATATATGGTTATTAGCAAAAGGATGAATCCAAAATGCAAATTACATATCGGGGATAGTAAAATCAAGCAGGTACAGAAATTTAAATATCTAGGAAGTGTTCTAACAGAGGACGGAAAGTGCGGCACTGAGATCCGAAGATGTATTGGGATGGTCAAAGATGCAATCCAAAAGCTAAGCAGTGGATTAAGAGACGGAAAAATTATTGTTCGAAGCAAAGAAAAGAGTACTGAACTGTTACGTGATATCTGTCCTCCCTGTATGGCAGCAAATGCTGGACAATCTCCTCAAAGATGAAGAAGAGACCCGAAGCAACAGAAATGTGATTCTACAGAAGGATGCTGAGGATACTATAGGCCGAAAATGTGAGACACAACAAGGTTTTGGATAGAATGGAAAAAAAGAGGAAACTTATACTTAACATCAGGAAGAGGAAGTTAAAGTTTCTGTGGTACGTAATGAGAAAGGAGGTTTTGGAAAACCTGATAGTCACGGGACAGATTGAGGGAATGACGGACAGGGGGAAAGCAGCGTGTAACAAACTTGATGAGCTTGAGCAAATGGATGGCAGAACAGGGTGTGGAAAAATAACAAAAGGACAAAACTTATTAAGAGCTACAACGGACAGGAAGATGTGGATGGCCATGATCGCCTGCGTCCTAAAGGGAAACGGTGCATTAAAGAAAGATGAAGAATATTATATAAGTTATTTAAAGGCAGAAAATATTTTTTAGATTGCATGAATTTGGAAATAATAATGATAATAATGATTTCCTAATACAAGTCCTACTAATTAACCTATAGCTGGAGGGAGAAGAGGTGGATTCATACTTTTCCGAATGGTATTTGCACGTAAGTGAATATAATAAACCTGACTTTTTAAAAAAATATCACGTTAACCCCAAGCAAGGCAATAAAGCTACAGAGACGCAAGGGTTTACGGGCTGTGGAAGAGTTAGAAACAGGAACATTGCTAAGGAGTGAGAACAGAGGAAGAGTAACCAGGAAGACAGCATGTAGCGACTGACATTGCATTTAAATTTTTGCAGATTAAAGTTGGCTGGGAAGCATGGCGCCAGAAGGGAGTCCCACGAGCAAGAAGAGCGAGAAAAGAAACTGCAATTGGAACTCGACTCTCCAATTTCCAATTCCAAGCCGTTCTCCATTACACCACCCGCACATCCAATCTTACAACACCTGGTATTCCCAAGTTGTCGCCCATCTAGAAAATGGGCTCTCTGACAGGGATCGAACCAGCGTTTCTCTTTTTGGATAAATCACCGTTTGATCCGTCGTGCTCAACCACTCGACTACAGAGAGCGTCACACTCTATCTTTGGTTTCTCCGACGTAGGTTCAATTTCTACAGGAGTGCGCACTTGCTTTATTGCTATTTCACATACGAGTAGCCACTATCCACTATAATAACGTTTGGAGTAATAAAAATGTCGGATTAAAAATAAATCCATTAATTCCTTAGAAATTACATACAGATGTTCTCGAGAATCGATCAATATTTCCGTGGCCTGACATATGGTTATTACCGTATTGTTCGGTGGACACGACGCACAATTTTTTTCACTCACAGAATTTTATGTCAAAATCTGTTTGTGTCAATTTTTTTAATCCCTTGTAAACAATTTCAATATTTATTATTTTGTCATATTCGTTAACAGATATATTCTTATCTGATGTCACTTTCATATTTACGATAAGGCGTTTTTATAGTCTTTAATTACAATGTCTTGTCTTTTAGTTTTATATGTATGTTAGCAGGCCAGGCTTAAAGTACAATAACTCGGGCAATCGCCCAGGGCCCCCAAAAGGCCGAGGGCGCCATCATTTCTCCATGTCATGTATTTGGAATCTTCCAAAACATAGTGCGGTCCTCTCTGATTAGACAGATTAAATTCTTTGGTTGTTTTGTCAATAGAAAATGATCTTGTGGAGCAGATAGATGTGGAAAGTGCCATGAAAAGATTTACAGACCTAAAAGCTAGAAAAATATCTTAGGTCGGATAATGAATGTTTCCTTTAGCTTGTGTTAAGTTGTATATTGTAATAAACTCGTTATTCTACATTTTCGGTTTTTCCCCTTGTAAAAATATTAAAAAAAATTATACTTGTAAGGGAGTCGAAGTTGAGCTTGCCCAGGGCGCCAACAACCCTAGCGTCGTGACTGTTAGTATAAATGGAAAAGTCGCAAAAAATAATGAATCACAAACTTCTATGACTAGTTCGGAGTGATTTGATCCACTTGGCTCTATGTCCCCAAGTAGCCCAGTGGATAAAAGCGTTGGTCGAAGTAATCTAGTGACTGTTGTGTCCAATAACTGACCACAGCAGAGGGGAACAAAAACACTCGGAGAGTTGAGTTACTAAAGGGAGATAACTAAGACATCCAGAAAAGTCATGGCACGTGGAACTAGAACAATCTAACTCGGTGGACGAAATAAAGGGTTTGGTTCGAAATTCCAATGTATATCATCTGAAGAAGGCCGGGGCGTATAACGGTCTAAACGTCGTGAATATTAAAATAAAGATGATTTACCGTGAAATTATGAGGGGGCGAAGTAATTTTTGACATTAAAAAACACATGATTTGATTTTAAAATGATAGGCGGGTAAAAGTTTTAAACACAAAAACCTTATATATAATTTAAATTAGCAGTATTTTAAGCCTTTTAACTTTCAAAAAAATCCTTCATATTGATCAAGTTTTTAATATTTATTGAGGCAATGCAAAGGGGTCTACACGGAGTGAAAGTGAATGAGACGACTTTAATGAAGTGAAATGAGGAAGAGGGACAATAAAACGTGGCATGAAGCGTGACGCAAGAATAATGTCACATCATGTCATGTCGATCTCTGTATATCTTTGGTGACAAGATTTGATAGTCAGTCAGTTATGTACCATGCGTGATAGACGCTTAGGCGATCATGTATCTTTCGATACATGACTGACAAGATAGATTTTTTCCCCCCGCACTAGGCTGCCATTTCTTTCTGCGGTAGACCAGTTGCTATCCAAGGCTATAGAACCTGGTCTGTTCTTATATTTACCTATAGGTGGGGGATTCACATCTTTCCCAAGGGTATTACCACGTAATGGATTCGACTGGAATTCGAACTCGAGCTATCCGATTCATCAATCCGAGTCGCTATCCATTACTCCACGTGCCTCCTCGACCAGACACTAAATTATTATTGTTATTATTATTACTATTATTGCTCCCCCCCTACTTCGTTAGTTAGTTTGTCTCCGGTATAACGATAAACTACATCCGGCAGCAAGACCTATGCTCGGGAGATAGTAGGTTTTGAGGAACGTGGAACCACTTCTTAATCGCTGTTCTTTCCAGATCCACCCTGACCCGAGATGGTAGCACCTGTTAGGGGGGGTCCCAGCTATGGGTAAAAAGTGAACTCACAAATAAAAAAAAAAAGACTATGAAATTATAAAAATACACTTTTATAATAAAAATACCAGCAACACATTTTTATATTAGAAAAATTAGCAACAATAGTTATTTATAGCAGAATTAACAACAATACATTGTATCGGTAGTTGAAACCATAAGATTGTGTTAAAAATATTTAGAGTTTGACATTAAATAACCCATAGAGGTGTTGATATGCCGCTAAACAAAACAAGCCAACCAACCAAACATAATTTTTAATCCAGGGCATGATGATAAGCTACATCCGATAACAGTGGATAAAAGTCGGGGGTGGAGGTTTTGAGGAGCGTGGAACCACCTTTTAATTGATGTTGTTCCCAGGTCCTCCTTTACCCGGGGTGGTAGCACCTGTTAGGGTCCCAGCTATGGGCAAAATACTATGAAAGTATAAAAAAAATTATATTAAAAAATGATCAACAGTAACTATTTATAGCAGAACTACCATCAATAGTTACTTATCTGTAGTTGAAGCCATAAAATTGACTTCAAAATATTTAGAGTTTGACATTAAATAACCCATAGAGGTGTTGATATGCCGCTAAACAAAATCAAACAAAATAGTTCTTTCGTTAGTTCGTGTGGAGGTTACGTCCTGCTAATACTTCATAAATGATGGACTATTCCGTTTTGACCGAGTGAAAACACAAATCTGACATATCAAAGGCGCGATTTGGTTTCAGTAAGAAAATGGAAGAAAGGAAGAAAGGGACAATAGAAGTGTTTAATGTCTGTTTCAGGGAAACGGAAAATTCAAATCTTTTCATTTGTACCCCCTTACTTATAAATAAATTTGTTAATAAAAATGTTTGCAAGATAGGTTTTCGGGTAGTTATTATTATTAAATGAAGCGAGCAATAAACGATACAGAAAGAGGAAAAATATAAACTTCGAGTAAAAAAAAAACTAAAAAGAAAAAAAACGCGTACACAGAACGTAACAAAGGTGGCTACATCTGTTTCTTCAATGTGTCGTACCTCGCAGCCAAGTTCATAAACCATTTGATATGGAAGTGTGC